GGTTACAAACTCCGCTAACCTGGAAAAGTTACCTCGAGTCGAGAACTTTGCCCCAGGATGAGAACAAAAATTGTGTGGCAGCGGCAGCAAAAGCACGCCTCTAGTTAAGAAGAGTTTCAGGTTAGGAACGGACCTCCGGAACCAATTAAGTTCGTAACTAGAGGTACCACTGTACACATTTTTGCAAGCCAATTCCTCTAATGATTTTGTATGTTGTCTTCACGAACAGATGCATTTAAATGCACACTATCCTCTAATATATGCATTCTTGTTCATGTTGCTTGGCTGGCTGGTGGCTTTGCAAAATTCAGAAAAGTGTGAATTTCAAAGGCTGGCTGTATTTTGGCTCACCTACTGTTTTGGAAGGACGCGGGTAGCGCTGTGGTCTAAACCACAGTGCCTAGGGCTTGTCGCTCAGAAGGTCGGCGGTTCAAATCCTCGCGACTGGGTGAGCTCCCGTTGTTTGGTCCCTGCTCCTGTCAACCTAGCAGTTCGAAAGCACTTCAAAGTGCAAGTAGATAAATAGGTACCGCTCTGGCGGGAAGGTAAAGGGTGTTTCTGTGTGCTGCTCTGGTTTGCCAGAAGCAGCTTAGTCATGCTGGCCACATGACCCAGAAGCTGTACGTCGGCTCCCTCGGCCAGTAAAGCGAGATGAGTGCCGCAACCCGAGTCGTCTGCGACTGGACCTAATGGTCAGGGGTCCCTTTACCTACTGTTTTGGAAAGTGTGGATTTGATATATACAGCTTTAAATGTAAATGGAATCAAATCCCCACTACAACCCTAGCGACAGTCCAGAAACATTTGGAGGGCCACAGGCTTCCCAGCCTCTGTAATACTGAGACGTGCACATCAGTAATGAACTTCTACTTTTGTGCAATGTTGTTTTCTTTCTCTGATTTTGAGATATTTGATCATTGGTCTTTGATCCCATACGACAGGTTAGCTGGTGTCACTCTTTGTAATCTCAATGTTGTAGTCCAGCAACATTGGGTGGTTCTATGCATTTACCTTCTTACACAACTGGATAGTTCAGTAGGTTAGAGAATGGTGCTGATAACACCAAGGTTGCAGTTTCAATCTCACTTGGGACAGCTGCATATTCTTGCATTGTAGGGGGTTGGACAAGATGACCCTCAGGGTCCCTTCCAACTCTATTATGTTATGCCCTCTATGCATTTACGGGCTCCTCGTCCCTGTTCTAAAGTGAGATGGAAATATTCACATCAACAATAAGGAAGGTTCTCCATCCAAGCACTAACCAGGCATGTTACATTGGAAGGCCAGCCAACAGTGTCCAATTAAACTTTCCACAATCAAATGGTGTGGGGTTTGGCACTGATATACAACATCGCACAGAAGATAAATTTAATAAGGAAAACCAGACTCTTTTTACAATAGGGTCTTATGGATGCGGGTGGCGCCGTGGGTTAAACCAAAGAGCCTAGGACTTGCTGATCAGAAGGTTGGCGGTTCGAATCCCTGTGACGGGGTGAGCTCCCATTGCTCGGTCCCTGCTCCTGCCAACCTAGCAGTTCGAAAGCACATCAAAGTGCAAGTAGATAAATAGGTACCGCTCCAGCAGGAAGGTAAACAGCGTTTCCGTGAGCTGCTCTGGTTCGCCAGAAGCTGCTTAGTCATGCTGGCCACATGACCCGGAAGCTGTATGCCGGCTCCCTCAGCCAATAAAGAGAGATGAGCGTCGCAACCCCAGAGTCGGCCACGACTGGACCTAATGGTCAGGGGTCCCTTTACCTTTACCTTACTTATGGATGTTTCCTTAGAAATAGGGGCTATTTAGGAAAATAAAAGCTACCTTGTAGCAAATCAGACAATTGCTTCACCTAGCTCAGTATTATTTTCACTAAATGGCCTCGGTCCTGTATACCTGAAGGAGCATCTCCACCCTCACCGTTCAGCCCAGACACTGAGGTCCAGTGCTGAGGGCCTTCTGGTGGTTCTCTCATTGTGAGAAGTGAGGTTACAGGGAACAAGACAGAGGGCCTTCTTGGTAGTGGCACCTGCCCTGTGGAACGCCCTCCCATCAGATGTCAAGGAAATAAGCAGCTATCCTATCTTTAAAAGACATCTGAAGGCAGCCCTGTTTAGGGAAGTTTTTAATATTTAATGCTATATTGTTTTTAACACTTGATTGGGAGCCACCCAGAGTGGCTGGGGAAACTCAGCCAGGTGGGCGGGGTATAAATAATAAATTATTATTATTATTATTATTATTATTATTATTATTATTATTAGGTGATATTCAACTAAGTTTTACTCAGAAGAGACCCATTTAAATTATCAGACCTAATTTAGTCATGTTTATTAATTTTTATTCTACCTAGCACATTTTCATTGGTTTTGTGACTCAAAATAGATAGGATAAACAACATCTACTTTCATAGCATTTCCCCCCACCCCCAGAAAAAAGTTTAACTTTCTTTAAATATGGATAAATATCTACTGCATGCAAAGGACTTCTTTCCATTACCACTTTCTGAGACTGCATTAACTACTTTTGTCATTTGTTAAAAACTTGTTTAGCTATGATTCCCTTTCCTCTCACTTTATATTGCAGTGATAGTTCACAGTTTGTAAACTGGGTGGTTATGGCTTAAAAACAACAATCAGCAGAGGGGGAAGGGAAAGGGAAAGGGAAAGGGAAAGGAAAAGGAAAAGGAAAAGGAAACGGAAACGGAAACGGAAAAGGAAAAGGAAAAGGAAAAGGAAAAGGAAAAGGTAGGCTTCACATATCCCTGCTGTTTGTTTGGCAGCAGCTGTATAAGCATGGACTACCCCTACTGTCAATATTGTATTTCATATTTATTTAATTATATTTATATCCCAACTTTTCCTCCGGGTTGCTCCGGGTGGCATAACATGGTTTCCCCACTCCTCATTCAATCCTCGTAATAAGCCTTCAAGGTAGAAATACTGCATTACCAGCAATGTCAACTTGGAGGCAGTTAGGGATGGAAGGATCTGTCCATTTCATCTCTCTCATTTCCCCCCATCTTAAATTCAGTTCTCCACATTTCTTCAGCCTAATTGTGATTTTTTTAAAAAAATCAAATAGTGCAAATTTCTTCTAATAAACACATTGTTTTGCAAGCAATTTCTCCTGATCTCATGCACTTTGTAATGTGTTCATTTTTATGCACATTTCCCCCAAAATGTGCAATTTTTTGTAAACATGGTTTAGCTGGAAATCCACATCATGAAATTGGGATAATTGTGCATTTCGAAGGATAGCTGTGTTTTGCTTCTTACATTATTCCAGAAAGTGCCTTTGTATGTGAATGGAACTGAATTTCTCTCCCATTTTCTAGAATCAGCCCATTTGAACTAGCGGAGTATAGCAGTGTTGCTGCTCTTTTTCTCAAACCCCTCCTACACTCAAAATATAAAGAAATTGCTGAGCATCAGATACCAGCTTATAATATAAGATTCAGTCCTTGGTGTCTCATTTGCTGGCTTCCATAAACATAGTTTCTTGGCAGACAAATGGGGCTGTTATCTGAGGGTTGTACTTCTCCCTGCCTGCTTCAGCTCTTTATTAACGGTTTAGAAGGTCTCTTAGGATGTCTTGAAGATATCTTGCATTTCCTTTTCTTTACTTTTCAATTCTATTAGCTCAGCAGAGATCATGTTTAGCATTTGACTTCAGTGGGATTTAAAATCCTTCTGTTTACTCTTTTCACATTTAAGCATCTTTGTAATTGCCCTGCTTTTCATGATATTCCTGGCATGGCTAGGAGTTTCCCTGAATTGAAGGGCCAAATGTACGTAGTACACACTGACATCTAAAAACTCTGACAGCTGCATCTTTTAGAAGCTTTTGGAATGGGCGTTGCATTTATTATTCATTCATTCTTTCATTCGTTTAAATGAAGCGGAGTGTTTGCTTTTCCATTGTAACACCTCACCCCACCTTATGCTTATCATTATTCCATGAGATTCCAGACACATGATATCAACTGCTTCCCCCTAAACACAGCAGCCGTAAGGGTTATGAAGCATGTGTTTGTGTCAGCTCTAGCTGGGTCATTTCGTTCCAACCGTCCTGCTGCAAAGACCCATTGGCCTCTGCTCCGACGTAAATCAGTAACCAAGGCTTCAAAGCCAGGGCACACTATATCAACAGAGTGAACTGCGCACACAGAATAAGCGGGAGGCTTGTGGAAGCATACTACAACTATGGATTTATTAATCATAAATCAGGACAAAGGAACATGTCATCTCTCTCTTTGTCTTCTCAGAGAGACAGAGAGAAGCAAAAGCTATACACACAACATCTTCGAAAGATTTATTGCTTTATTGTTCGGCGCCCAGCCACGCTTCCCCTGGGAGCCTCTGTAGATCGTAAAGCAATTAGCAGAGTTACACAGCGGCATGTGTCGAAAGAGCAGTAAATAAGTTCCAAACGTTTCTTCTGTCCTAATATCCCTTTATTGGCACAAAAGTAGTGTATTTACAAACTCCAACTTCCATCTGATTCAAGCTGCATCTTCTCCCTCTGCTTGCAGCGACGCAACAAACTGCTTTCGATTTTCACTCAGTACACAGCATTCCAAGCTGCTTTCGTCACGTCCTGGCTTACTTCCCTTGTAAGCCCATCCCCTCAGTCTCGGGACACAGAAGGTTAACCCTTCACTACACCCAACACAACGGAAGTTCCCAGCAAGCTGTGCTGGTATGTGACATGCAACAGTTCCATGTCTGCAACTAAAGGTGGAATGGAATTTTCCAACCGTTTGCACGTAATATTACACATGCTTTGGCTACAGTTCAGAACACATTTGCTTAGGAGTGTGTCCCATTGAACTTGGTGGGTCTTCCTTCTGAGTAGCCATGGACAGGTTTGTACTGAAAGTAGGAACAGGTGAATCTGGCCATTTCAGTTTCTTGTGTCTCCAACCTTCAATTCTGCACATTTCCATCTCAGTTTGCAAATTCTGATTTTTAAACAGTCCTCACGAAAATTCAGCAGAATTTTCACAAGAAATTCATTTGGTTAGAATGTGGTACTGATAATGCCAAGGTTGTGGGTTCGATCCCCATATGGGATGGCTGCATATTCCTGCATTGCAGGGAGTTGGACTAGATGATCCTCAGGGTCCCTTGCAACTCTGAAATTCTATGGTTCTACAGACTCCAACAGCAGGCAGAGCTGGCACAAAGCCAGGTTAAGATTAAAAAAAAAAAAATGTCCAGTAGCACGTTATAGACCAACTAAGGTTGTTCTTGTGTTGAGCCCAGAGATGATAAGACTGATTGGCAACATTATAACACTCCCTAAATACCTGAAGTGCATAGAGGAAGGCAGAGACATTTTATGGGCTGCCCCAGAGGGCAGGGTTAGGTCTAAAGGGGTTAAGTTACAGGAGAGCAGATTTTGATGGCACATTAGGAGAAATGTCCTGATGGTAAGAGCCAACTATTACATTAAGGATTTATAGTATAATCAAATCTGGTCTATAGCTATGACTGGAAAAATTGACTAAAATTTTTAAGTATGCTAGAGGACAAAAAATAAAAATAAAAATTCAGCTACATGGCAAAGATTATTTATATAGAAATAATGATAACAGGAGGAGCATTTCCACCCCCATTGTTCTGCCCAGACACTGAGGTCCAGCGCTGAGGGCCTTCTGGCGGTTCCCTCGCTGCGAGAAGCCAAGTTACAAGGAACCAGGCAGACGGTCTTCTTGGTGGTGGCGCCCTCCCACCAGATGCCAAAGAAATAAACAACTATCTGACTTTTAGAAGACATCTGAAGGCAGCCCTGTTTAGGGAAGCATTTAATATTTTATGAATTATTGTATTTTAATATTTTGCTGGAAGCCACCCAGAGTGGCTGGGGAAACCCAGCCAGATGGGCGGGGTATAAATAAATGATGATGATGATGTCCAAATACAGCCTGTGAAATACACGACTGTTTGAAATTCTTAGTTAGTTTGCATCTTAAAGTGAGAATATCAGAAGACCCTGAGGACAACATCCTGATATTGGTAAACAAAGTGTGTGTGTTTTCAAAGGACAATATTGACTCATCTTCTTCCTCCCCCCTTTCAAATACTGAATGTTTTGTATGTGTATGTGTGTTTAATTTTAATTTTCATGAACATGTATTTTTTTTCTTTTTCTTCCAATATATTATTGAAGGATATGTTTTGGATTACACACAGAGAGATGAACCATTTACCCAGAAGGATGGGGGTGGGTGGAATAGGGTGGCTCTCCATCTCTGGACATCTTCAGATCAAGGTGGGCAACCTAGTCTTGAAGATGCTCCATCTTACATCATTGGGCAGCAGCCAGCATTTCCCAGCAAACTGCCATGTTGCATAGGTAATGCAACTGTTCTAGACAGGCTCTAATAGCAACGGAGATTTACCAGTGGTCTTACAATTGGTGTCAAAAGTGCTTGGTTAGATAAGGCCAAGTGGACAACCCCCTCTAATCATACAGGGTGTGTGCGTGTTTGCGAATGGGGGAAGCATTCCCTGGGCTCTACGTGCAGCAGAGGAGGGTGATTAGTGCTAATAGAATCTGAGATTGATTGATGCTTCAGCAGATCTGTTTTTAACAGCTGCCTGGAAAAGGTGAAAGGGCTCATCCCAGGGATTAATAAAACAGGTAAGTATGTCCTTCTTGCAGAGGTAGCTGTCAGAGAAGAAGCGCAGGGAAACCAAGGCAAGGATAATCACACCAGGAAGGTGTGATTTTTTTAATGTTTAAATAAATCTCATGAAAACCCCTCAGCATTTAGTGCAAATCCCTTTGAATGTGCACGTTTTTGTATGCAGTTCGGCTAAATAGACACCATTTTGGAAAGCTAGTTCACCTAAAACAGGCATAGGCAAACTCGGCCCTCCAGATGTTTTGGGACTACAACTCCCATCATCCCTAGCTAACAGGACCAGTGGTCAGGGACAATGGGAGTTGTAGTCCCAAAACACCTGGAGGGCTGAGTTTGCCTATGCCTGCCTCATACAGTGGTACCTCGGGTTACAAATGCTTCAGGTTACAAACACTTTGGGTTACAAACTCCTCTAACCCAGAAGTAGTATCTCAGGTTGAGAACTTTGCCCCAGGATGAGAACGGAAATTGCGCAGTGGCAGCGCGGCGGCAGTAGGAGGCCCTATTAGCGAAAGTGCGCCTCAGGTTAAGAACGGTTTCAGGTTAAGAACGGACCTCCGGAATGAATTAAATTCCTAGCCCAAGGTACCACAGTATATACTGTATTTCTGTATGCCATTTTCACTAATATGTGCATCTTATACATGTTTTATGGGTGGCACTGTGGGTTAAACCACAGAGCCTAGGACTTGCTGATCAAAAGGTCGGCAGTTCAAATCCCTGCAACAGGGTGAGCTCCCGTTGCTCAGTCCCTGCTCCTGCCAACCTAGCAGTTCGAAAGCATGTCAAAGTACAAGTAGATAAATAGGTACCGCTCCGGCAGAAAGGTAAACGGTGTTTCCGTGCACTGCTCTGGTTCGCCAGATGCGGCTTAGTCATGCTGGCCACATGACCCAGAAGCTGTACCTCAGCCAATAAAGTGAGATGAGCGCTGCAACCCCAGAGTCGGCCACGACTGGACCTAATGGTCAGGGGTCCCTTTACCTTTACTTATGCCCTTCTGAACACATTACATGGCTGGAGAACTGTGTTGCAAAATTCAGAGCTGTGCCAATTTAGGAGGATGACTGTTTTCTGGTTTGGGTATCGTTTTGGAAACTTTGAAATATGTAGGTTCACCTTTAACTGAAAGCTAAATTAAATTCCTCCCCTCCCCCAAAGCATGGAAATGAAGGGAACAAGACATGGCCTAAAAAGAAGTGTGTATGGTGCTGGGGAATCTGCCCAAGTCTTTGACATGTGTGATCATCACTCCTGTTATTCACAGTTAAATACCACGGCCTTTTGGATCAGATTATCATTTTCAAGAGAACTCTTTTTTAAAAATAAACCAAAAAAAACCCTTCTGCTCTCAGCCCAAAGAGAATAGAACAATTTGTTCTAAATCAAAGCTAAGAGCAGAAGTGATTTTTTAAAAAATAAATTAAAATATACTTAGGGTTTTGTTTTGTTTTTTAAAAAATAAAAAATAAAGAACAAATAATAGTAATAATAATAATAAAGGTAATTTGACCTGGAGCATGTGAGTATTTCAGATTGTGAATAAATCTTGCAGTGATTAACGCCTAATGAATTGTAAAAGGAGGGATTGAAAGCATGTGCCTGAAGGCACAGCATTTGATTTGGGACCAGAGCCAAGAATAAAGAGGCAAGTTGCGTGTTGGTGGATTGAATGAGGTCCGTGTTTTACGAAAACTTTCAGAGGCAATAAAAAAAAAAAGCCCGGATTTGCAGTTGAAAATTAAACTACCGGTATGTTGGGGGCTGAGTTCATTCTTCAGCCCATTGGATATGCAAGATGTCTAGGTGAGTCTGACCGTACCCTGGGAAAGAGACAGGAACTATGCCAGAAAACCTCTTCCCTAGCCTAGACCTTCTCAGATGAGACCTTTCTGTGGGCCAGAGCCCCACAATTCCATATGGGTGACAGGGATGAACCAGTCTGTCTCAGTCTGTCCCATTCTGTTTTGGCCTGTGGGCATCTTAAAATATGACCCACTGTGTGTGTGTGTGTGTGTGTGTGTGTGTGTGTTGGATTTTAGAGAAATCCTTAAATTTATAAGAACAGTCACGAAAACCAAACCAAAACAACCAAAACAGAGGAGTGCTTGTGAGCTGCAATGTACCCTATCCATCTCCATTGCTATTAACAGTGGGAAGCTGCTTGGAGTACCATCAAAGGATGCCGTCTCATTTCCTGTCTAAAAAATGTTGCAGTGTGGAATATGTTGCAGTTCAGTATCTTCCAGCCACTCCACCCCACCCCCCGTTTCCTGTTCTTCCCACAGCAGTCAATCTTATTCGGCACCCACTAAGCATTTGGCTTTCTTCAAGGGGAAGTTTCCCTTTCTTATCCCTGCTTTGTGATTCTGAAAACTCTGCAGTTTCCCCCGGCCTCCTGAGCCCTCCCACTTGTGCATGGGTGATGCAACCTTCGTGACAACATTCCGAGCCTGAGCATCGGAAGCATATGGAGCAATAACCACGTTGCTCTGTAAGCTGCAGCTAGGTGACATCATGCTTTGTGGTGGTCTATTGCAGTCAATCCTCTTGGGTGTGGGTGGTGCTGTTTGGGCTGCCTAAACAATGGGTGCTCACAGCCTGAAAACTGGAAACAGAAGGAACCACTTGTTTGCAAAAATATTAAATTTTGGAGTCAAGTTATTTGTCCTAGAATTTCAAGCTGGGATGAGAAGTGTCCTCAAACAAAGAGCGGGAGAAATGCTAGCGGTTTTGCATTTTCTCACTATCGCTGCTGTGTAGGCTTTGGTGCAGAGAGGCTGCAAGAAGAGGAGATCCTCATGTACCATCTCTGGATGGTGGCCCAAGCCATCATCCCTGCCAAGTGCAGCTGAGTGATTAATTTCCCTGCCTGAGCATGAACAGCTGTGCTAAAACAAATGTCCAGGAACAGAAATTTCCTCTCTGGCTTGCAGCTTGGGGAGAGAGCGGGAGAGACAGAGAGAGGAGGGCGACGGAACATTTCATTCTAGAACACTGTCATCGCAAAGCTTTCTCAACCTTTAATGCCACCCCTCCTTTGTAAACGCTATTTAAACAAATCTGAAGGAGGATCCAAACCTTTCTTCCTTCAATATGCTGTATCCTGTTATGAAGATGTAGAAGGGAGTTTTTTGTTTTCTTAAAAAAACCAACCACACACAAAACATGCCAAAGTGTTTTAAGAAGGTGGAATTAGAAAGACAGACACTGAAATGTGACACATAGCACAGCCCTAATGGCCCATGGTTTCAGGAATGGCTACAGTTCAGTGCTAGAGCATCTACTTTGCATGCAGACAGCCCCAGGTCCAATCCTAACTTTGATTGACTTATTCCTATAATTTGAATGATATCATTATTCTATTATATATTCTCTACTAACTATTAGGCTACATGTTGTGCTTGTATTGTTGTTATTGGTTC